TTTGCCACTGTTGACCATCACCTGCTACTGGAGATGCTGAGAGACTGGGTAGGCCTATCAGGATCTGCCCTGGAGTGGTTCTCCTCTTATCTCTCTGAGTGCTCCTTCTATGTGGCCGTCTCCAAGTTTAGGTCCTCCACCACCTCTCTTACCCATGGTGTCCCACAAGGTTCTGTGCTGGGGCGTCTGCTCTTCCTCCTCTGCTTCCTCTTCAGCACATCCTGAGCTCCTTCAAAGGAGTCTCCTACCATCTTTATGCAGATGACATCCAACTGTACATCTCCTTTAAGCCCCATGAGATGTCTAAGCTGCAGCTGTTACACACCTGCTTAGACTCTATTAAAGCCTGGATGGCTGGAAGCTGTCTTCAGCTGAATGAAGATAAGACTGTGATCCTCATCTGTGCCCCAGACAAGCTGGTTCCCAAACTCAGAGACTCTCTTGGTCAGCTTGCTTCTCACACCAAACCTTCCATCAGGAATCTTGGTGTGACCTTTGACCCAGCTCTCACCCTGGATTCTCATGTCAGTTCTCTTGTTCGCTCTTCCTTCTCCCATCTCAGGAACATTGCTAAGCTGAGTCCCATTCTGTCCCACTCTGAACTTGAGACAGTTCTCCACACCTTCATCTCCTCACGCTTAGACTACTGTAACTCTCTTTTCACGTGTCTGAGCAGAACCTCCCTGAACCGTCTACAGGTGGTTCAGAATGCCTGTGCTCGGCTTCTGACCAAGTCCTCCAAACACACCCACATCACCCCGCTTCTCCTCCAGCTTCACTGGCTGCCAGTCAACTTCAGGGTTCATTTCAAGATCCTGGTTCTGGTCTATAGGGCCTTACATGGACAAGCACCATCTTACACTGGTGATCTTCTTAGTCCCTACACTCCCAGCAGGTCCCTGAGGTCCAGTGATCAAAGCCTACTGGTTGTGCAGCGCACCAGGCTAAAGACCAAAGGTGACAGATCATTTGCTGCTGTGGCCCCCAGACTCTGGAAGTCTCTCCCCCTGAGCCTGAGATCAGTGGACTCAGTGGTCTCCTTCAAAAAGCAGCTGAAGACTCACTTGTTCAAGCTGGCTTTTGTATGACCTTCTTCACCACTCTCTCTTTATTCTGCTCTCCCCACCTATTCAACCTTCCTCAGGATCCACTGATATCCCTCTTTCGTGTTCACTTTCTCTTTCTTAACATTTTTTTAACCACAATTGTCTATTTTTTGCTAATTTTAAATATATTTTTCAACATTTTCTAAATGCTTTTTTATATTTTTACATTTTTTGTTTTTGTGAAGCGTCTCGTGATTTTTATCTTGAGAGGCGCTATAGAAATGATACTTTCTTCTTCTTCTTCTTCAAGCCACTGAGTTATGACTTTTGCCTTATGGCACAGTGCTCCATCGTGCTGGAAAAGGCATTGTTCTTCACCAAACTGCTAGATTGTTGGAAGAAGTTGCTGTCGGAGGGTGTGTTGATACCATTCTTTATTCATAGCTGTGTTTTTGGGCTAAATTGTGAGTGAACCCACTCCCTTGGATGAGAAGCAACCCCACATATGAATGGTCTCAGGATGCTTTACTGCACCTTTTCTTCTCCGGACAAGCTTTTTTCCAGATGCCCCAAACAATCGGAAAGGGGCTTCATTGGAGAATAGGACTTTGCCCAGTCCTCAGCAGTCCATTCGCCATTCCAATTTCCCATATTTGTGTCGTTCTCAAAACTTTTGGCCACAACTGTAGATATAGTCTGACTAACCTCAACTCTGAACGTTTCCTTCAGAGGGGCTGGACACTACAGTACTCTGTAACTGTGCTCAACTGGTTCAGTTTCTATTTTACAGACAGAAACTTTCTGGTAAACTTAAGACACATGTTCCTTACAGATCCACAAGGCTAATCATGGTGTTCCCCAAGGCTCCATTTCAGGTCCTATACTTTTTAACCTGTACATGCTACCACTTGGTGGGGTCATCAGGAGACACGGGATAAATATCCACGGTTATGCTGATGACACACAGCCATACATCTCTGTGCCTCCTGATGCCCACAGCAACTGATGCATTTCTTAACTGTATTTTAGATATAAAGACCTGGAGGACAAAGAACTTTCTCCAGGTCAACCAGTACAAAACTGAAGTTTTAATTACTGAACCTGAGACTCAGCGAGCAAAATCCCTAAAGAAATTACAATCTGTCTTTTACTCTTTCTACGCCGATTAGGAACCTTTGGGATTATCTTTGAGTCTGAGTTTACATTATTCCACATTTCAAACATACAGTAAAAGCGTTTTTATCATCTAAATAACTTAGCCAGTATCCTTATTCTTCTCTCTAAAGCAAACATTGAGATTTTAATGCATGCTTTTAGCCTTCAGCTGCTACAAAACGCTGCAGCCCTTGTGTTGACTAGGACCAGGAAGCAGGTGCATAGTGTGCCCGATTTGAAATCACTGCATTGGCTCCCAGTACGCCACAGGAATGTATTTAAAATTAGTTTAATTGTTTTTAAATGTTTTAATGGTCCTAGGCCCTCCTATCTCACATAGTTACTTTAACGTATGAACCTTTGGAGACCCTGAGGTCCTCTGGCATGGGTCTGTTAATAGTTCCTAAAGAACACAAGCTTATGGAGAAGCCTCTTTCCAACATTATGAAACAGTCTGCTAGAGTACCTCAGGGTTGCAGAGTGTTAATGTTTTTAAGAAAAGCCTCATGGTCCATCTTTTCACCTACTTCTCCTGACCTGGCCATAAAGCTATAGCTTTCATATTTTTGTATAGCACTTTGAGCTGCCTTTGATATGACAAGTGCTTATAAATAAAATTTGATTGATTATTCATAGACAGAACAACAGGGAGCCTAGCACTTCTCCCTGTCCGGTTGGCTCATGGGTCCCTGAATGGTGCAAAAGGAACTATTTTCTAACCTGCTTTGCCCTCAAGCCCTGAATCACACATTCGTACTTCAGTTTAAATGAAAAGTAATGTAGTGTGACCACGCCAGTCACGTACTTTGAGATTTATCAGCTTGTAAAAGTTCGTAAACATGACTACAAACCAGACGTCGGTACGTCACATATGTGACGTCACCACAGAATTTCCTCCCCCTAGCATAGCTGCTACTTACCACATGACCAGATTTATGGTGGTTCTTTCCTCCTGAAGGAAGGATATGAAGTTTGCTGAAATTACAGCCCTTTTCCCTCAGTTTTCTCTGTGTCTGTTTCGATGACGTCACTTTGGCGATGCACATTTGTAGTCCTGGACTTATTTTCACACAAAACCTAAAATAACCCTTGCCCTGTTTGAAAATAAGCACGTTCTTGGTATCAGAACGCATCTTTAAAATTCACAGACATCATGTGTGAAATCCATGGAACAAAACAAGCAGAATTAGAAACAGTCCCATTGACTAGCATTCATTTTCTCATTCTTCTGGTGGCCCATGGTCCGGAAGTAGATGGGAGTGGCTTAGACTCCCTATAGAGAATTTCTGCCAGTGAATGACCTCACTTCCTGTAGGACAGAAGCCATTATTGCTGATAGTTTGTTGCGGTACTTTTTAACTCTGATATGGTTAAAGTGAGGGTTTGGGATTCTTCCTGTATTATTCCTGAGTGAGGGCCACTGGCCACATTATTCAAGATATAAAGTTCTTTTTACAAAAGCTGTGCTTTCAGGACTTGCATAGAAAAATGATTTGGCTTACCTGTCTGGGGTCCAGGGTGTAAACTGCCCTTTTTAATCATATCCCAAATAACTACTACTGCCTTTTGTGGTATCAATCTTTTTAGCACAACCTGGACTGTCTGAATCTATACTTATTTTTTTATTTGGACATACACGAAATGCATATTGGACCTTAAGTCAATCAAAACATACATTATTTTTACTGTGAAACCCACAAACATGTATGATGAATGTTTTTTATTATTTAAAATGGCAATTTAGACCAGCGGTAGTCAATAGGCAGCCAAATGGCCATTCTTTGTGGGCCCAAACCGCCAGCACCCCCACCCCGGCCATCGCATGTGCGCTGTAGGGGTGGGAATGGTGCTGCTGTTAGGTTAGACTGTTTATAATTGTGCCAATGCTGATAATTCCTTATCAACATATGAGCAAAGATTTATTATTTCCATAAGAATGGGACTGTTTTTGTTTTCCAAGATAACTCCAAGTTTATTTGTGCCACTCCAAGAAGCAGTTTCTGTCCACTAAGCAGGGGAGCACATCAGGCACTTCCAAGTGACAAAAACAATCAAATAGATCATCTGGACTAAGACAGGAACAGCTGGACTCTTGCTTTTCTCCTTGGTTACAACCTAAGCCCTTCTCCTGTCTTATAGGCATCACAGAGGAGGCGGGGCTTTGCCTCACTGCGTGGAGATGGAGAAATTACCCGTTGTGGCACCTGTTTGAGCAACTTCCTCTGTGCCTACCAGGACATCATCATCCTCATTCTGACCCAGCTTCTGTTTTTCAGTGTCTAAGAAGGATTGATCAAAATCCTTGCTGTGGCGTCAGACTCCAGCTACGAGTCCCACTCTCCTGTCTTTCAGCTAAAAACCAGCTGAACAGTCATTGTTCTCATCTTCCTTTATACATAAAACCCACTCAGCTGCATAGAAACTATAATCTTTTTGTCACAGATCACTTCAGCTTCTAAAGGTTTCAGTCTCAGTTTACTGGTTATCTAAAAAAGTTGTTTCTTTAATCTAGTATAACTCTGCTTTTACTTGGCCTGATAACACAATTTAAAACTGGGGTGTAGTTCATAATCTCTCTTTTAAAAGTGAAACTCAGGGAGGCGGAGTCTCGCTGCTACGACGTCCCAAATCAGACCTGTTCAAAAGATGCAAATCCGCGTCCATAGACCCCAGAGGGTTAAACTACTCAAATGACCAGTCCTGAAAAATGTTTTCCTTCAAAGCAAAGCAGAGCCACAGAAAGATCATGTACTAATCCCATTTCAGGAGCCTGGAGTGGGTCACGGACGAGGTCCTCACCAGCTGCAGGAGGTCCTCCACTTTGCCTTTAAGACCCTGGAAACCAAATGGAGGCGGGTACAGGAACAGGTCTTCAGAAAGAGGCCCATCTTGCCACATGAAGGGCCGGATGGCTCCATTAGAGGCCAGGAGATGAGCCAGCAATTTCTCCCTGGTGCCACCGGGTTGACATGGACCCTCCAGAACTCGGAGTGCGTGTTGGTGCACAAGCTGCAGGTGAAGAAGAGACAATCAGAAAGACTCAACATGGCTATGTGATCCAGCACTCCAGTTGATGTCTGCAAATGAAAGGTTATTTTCTGGTCAATGTGTAGGTGAAAACTGACCACTTGATACATTACAGCATGGAGAGAAGTGAGCCAACTGTCAGAGCTCCAGAAAGCTACAGCAAGAAAACCAGGAACCAAGAGCTATAGCCAGAAACCCATACCTGACCCAAACAAAGGCTCCAAGCCTTGGCCAGCTGCCTACAGAGACACACGAGAGAAAGTGAAGCCAGATAAATAAACTGGCTCTTCTGGACCCAACCAGCTAAAGTGTACTCTCAGTGGCAGGGTAATAACAGCAGAGTAGACCCACCAAGGCTGGAGACTGAACAGTACTGGAAGGGCATGTGGGAGAAAGAGGCATCACACAACAGCAATGCAAAAGCCTCTCCAAGAGAAGACCTCAGCAACCTACCCGAGCAGAACCCAGTATCCACCACTGTGGCAGACATCCAGGAAAGAGACGCAGGTATGAAAAACAGGTCAGCAGCGAGACCTGACATGATCATTGAATTCTTGGAGCTGTACAACATCAACAGGACTCTTAGAGCCTTCATTACAAACTCAATGGAGCTGTGGAAAACCCCCCTTGAGGCCAACTGCACAAGTCTCCATCAAATGTAGCATAAACCACGGAGACACACTGTCCCCCTACTGTTCTGCATAGGTCTGAACCCCCCTCAGCTAAATAATCAACAAGACTGGTGATGGATGCCGACTCAAGAATGGAACCACAA